CCCCAAAAAAAAAAAAAAAAAAAAAAAAGTTAAGTAGACAAATGCAAGCATGCTAATCATATTGGGATAAATTTGCAAAACAAAACCAGACATGAAATGAGACTCACCTTCTGTTAGTTTCACCTATCCTTATTTGTGCACCATATGGATAAATTTTTCTTACTGTTCCTTCCAGAAGTGTTCCCTCTCGAAGGTGTAACATTTCCTAAAACATTATAGACCGAAGTCAAGCTCTCATTATACCTATGTGTGTATATATGCATATACTTAAATACATATATAGAGAAAAGTATCAAACATTAAACCCAAGGAACACATCAAGCAACAAAATGAGATAGTTAGGAGAAAAACTGACCCAAGCAGCCTTTTCGCTGAGTATTAAGTCATTATTACTTTCATCCATTCTAGTAATCAGCACATATATTCTGCGTCCCACCTACACCAAAGAAAATAACAATGAGTAAAGAGCATAAAACCAATAAAATAGAGCAAGCAACAGCCTAGGCGAAAAGTAACAAGGAAGAAAATTTCATAACTTGATTATAAAATAGTGAAAGCAGAACTTAAAGGTGGTGTTTGGCAAGTGGTTTTGGGGCTAAAATAGCCACAAAAAACAAAATGGGCTATTTTAGCCACAACAAATAAAACATCACATCCAATCCATAATCATTACACTCTTCTCTCACAAAAAAAAGTCAAAAAAGCCAAAAAATCCTTCCCAAACCAATCTTTTTAGCCCAGACTAAAATAGTTAAAAAAGCCAAAAAGCCAACCCACTTCCCAAACGGAGGCTAAATGTTAGCTAGATGGCAATCCAATTTGGCCCCATTGTGCTAATCTATCTAGTGCTTTGACGGTAGCAGAAACCTTTTTTTTATAAATGTGATTTGGCATTTGTTTCTTTCTTTCTTTTGTTTCCCATCAGATTTAATTCAGTATATACTTTTTGCATCAATAAATTTGTTTCAATAGAAACAGAAAATTCTAAATTGTATACACTCCACATATGCTTATAACTCATATAAACCTCAACTTTAAAACCTCGTGCGATCAAAATCTGAGGAAACATGTAATCTGAGCCTCTAGGCTTTGTGACCCATGGAATACAAAATGGCCAAAAATCCACTAATTTCATGACAACTCTCAAACTCACTTGTATCCAAGTCCAGTGAAGAAAATTTTCCTTCTTTTCCTCCACAATATTGATATTCTACAGAGAAAACAGTCCATCAACCCCCGATGTGGCATCATCCAATGAACAAGAGATTTATTCTCCCCATCCCACTTGGAAGGGCATCATTGGGTGGGTAGGCAAGCAAAGCATCCAAGCCTGGATTTTATTTCTTAATTTTCTATTGTGAAACTACATTTTCCTTTTGTGAACAAAAGTATTCAAAATGCAATGGAAGAAACCACATTTAAAGGTATCTCATATCTTTTAATCAGTCAAGTCACACATTCTAATTCTTCCAACTAAAAAGAACTCAGATTGATGTCTGTTGAAGAATAAAGGCACCAATGCACCATGTATATCCCAAATGGTATAGAAATAATCACTATCCAACTATCTTACTGAGAAATACATTAAGAATTCCGAAAAAATGTTGGCTTACATTCTCTTTCAAATCAGTGAAGCTGTTGACTCTACCCATTAACTCATTTTTTGGAAGAAAACCTCGCAAGCCCTGCAATACCAAATTCTGTAAGGTGATGTATTGAGTTGGGGAGTGCACGACACACACACACAGAAAGAGAGAACAAAGCCAAACCTCAATTCTTGTAAGGAGGCCACCGGTGTTCCACTCCGTAATTTTAACCTCAATAGGTTCATTGAGCTGCTTAATCTGCCCAAAATTTAATATGATATCAATCAAAAACTAATACTGTATGATGCTCAACGAATATCGTCCATTTAAGCTTGTTAACATGATAGATTTTTCCCTGCTGCCCAGCCACCGGAACGTGTGTCCAACAACCAAAATTTTCTAAGCTTATTATCTTAATAATGTATCTGCCACCAACTGGTTCAAGTATTAAGCAACTTTTGCATCATGAAACACTTTAAATACTATTATAGTCGCTCTTGAACCAAACATTTTACCAATTATCATGACAAACACTATGTGTAACTCTTACAGGACACAGTTTCTACTGTTGTCACAAATTCCCATAGGGCAGAGTTTCTACTTTGCTAAGTTTGACTTAATACTTTTTACTGTTTTGCACAAACTTTTTAAGTTCTTGAATCATCCTCTCTCGAAGTAATCAAAATGTTGCAGAATTGAGATGTTAAAAAAAACATAACATTGGTATAACATCAAGCATCAAGTCCATGGAATTTACTAGAGAATCATAAAATGCCTTTGGGTAAAACATAAGAAGCAAGAAAAGAACCTGCCTCACTCGGTGCCAAGCAATTCGCCTGAAAAACCGTCTCGTCGATAGCAATGGCCGACCACTTAGCGTTCTTCCTAGAACCTCAGCAAACAAAACAGTCCCAGGCTCCACCACAGGCCTCCCGGGCACCGGTTCTCCATTCACTGCCTCATCATCCCTCACAATTCCCATCTTCCCAACCACCATAAACTCCTCAGCATCCTTCTCTGTATCACACAACAAATAATCCATTTCCTTATCATACAAAGGAAGCACTTCCTTAGTCAACATCGTCCCCAACAAGTCTGCCCCAACATTCACGTCAAGCTTATTCTCATTGCCCGAAACAACTACTCCCACCGCGAAATCACCGGGTTTCGGATCATAATACTCAACAGAGACCCTTTTACTCTCTTCCCCAATCTCAACCTCCTCATTAGTCTCTTCTGAATCAATTGATTCTTCTAATGAATCCTTAGGTTTAAAGAACTTCAAGAAAGGCTTCAAAACCTCATCCTCATCGGGTTTTTGGGGCTTTGTATCAATTTCAGTGACAGATTCATTGGTAACTGGTTTGGGAGTTGGCTTGACACGCAATTGCGCGCCAAGTTCTTCACTCTCTTGAATTGCCTCGTTTTCGGGCTGTTCGGGCAAATGGGTACGCGGAAATTTCTCAAGAACCTCGTTTTGTGAGCAAAAGGAGATATGGGTTGTTCTCCAAATTGAGGAATTCAAAGAAAAAGTTAGGGTTTTAGGTGACCCAGAAATGGAAACTGAGGTTTTTGAACCGGGGCATTTGAATAACCCGTTTAAAGATCCGTTTTTTGGGGTTTTGTGGGCAGGAGTGAAGTTGTAGAGTGGTAGCGATGGGGTAAGGAGACACAGAGAGTTGCAGGGATGAAGGAGGAGTGGCATAGCTTCTTATCCTGCGCACCTCATGTGAGCTCTCTTTCTCTCGGATAAGAATTGATTGTTTGCTTTCCGTCGTTTCTAACATGCGCCTAGAGAACAGGATACGGGTGGAAACAGGGCTTCGAACTTTGTGTGACCCAGAAATAAGGCCCAAAAAATGAAAGTCCAGTTTTTTTGCGGGCTGATATGCCGAAGTTGATGGAGCGGCTAGTCGGGTGTTTTCAGAGGCTCTTCAATGGGCCTTTTAAATTTAGTAGGCTTTATGAGTCGATCCTATCTATCAGACTTATTAATTTATAAGTTCTATTCCCTAAGGGTGAGTATGGTTTGGTTTGATTCGGTTTAGCCATAAATTAAGATTAATTCATTACCTACGGTTTTATCAAATTTGGATCCAAATCAATCCATGAAAATCTTGGAATCAATCTGTGAAAATCTTAGAATCAATCCAACTCAAACCACTAAACCCCAGTTCGGTTCGATTTGGAACCACAAATTTTAAAAATATTATCATTATTTACAACTTAAGAATTGTTTACCGGATTGTTTAAAACTAGTTCTATCACTACACAAAAATATACTTATAATAGTAGAAATTAAAATTTATATATATATTAATTTAATATTAATAAAATATTTTAGTGTTTACATTCAGTAATAAATTATATATATAATCCAAACAGTCCGGTTCAATTCCAACTAGATTCGTAATTATAAAATCATGGATTGAACCGTGAGTACGGTTTGCCTATTTGGTATGGACCAGACTGGACTGATTTACGATTCATTCGATTTTTATGGTCGGTCCTACTATTATCTTTTTCACCTGTTAATATTCTCAAAAAGGGTTTGGGGCACAAAAATCAGTGCATTAAAAAAACATACAAGACTTGTAGATAATTAAATCCATCACATAGGATTGGCCCACAATTTATCCTTAAATTTTGCGTGTTATAATATGTGTTAATTGATAAAATTGGGTTATAATTTTGTACATTGAGTGTTTATTAGTTTAGATAATGAGTCAGTGCTCCAATTACGTAATTAAAGTGTATATTGAGGTTATGTTTGGTATATCTTTTTGACTATTTTAGTTACAAAAAGACAAAATAGCACAAAATATCACATCCAAATCATAATCATTTCATTTTTTCGTCAAAAAATAAAAAAGTTAACTCACATCTCAAACGATGACTAAGTAAGAGGAAAATCTACATATATATATATATATAAATCTTATTAGACGGTGTGCACATCGAATTGACCTGCTATAAAAATCAACTAATTGAATGTAGAAGGAGAAAAAACTTTAAAAACTAATCAAAATTTGAAGTAATTATATGGAGATGGTTGTACTGAAACAATTTGATAATTAAAAAAAAAAATTAAAAAAATAAAAAAAGAAAGTAGAAAAGAAACAGTTCATACTGATAGAGTTATATGCCTTCTATACTAGTAATGATAATATGGAGAGTTATATGCTTTATATACAGGTAATGATAATATAGATGATTACAAATTTTAAAAAAAATTACAACAAATCCCCATCTCCCTGTGCTCACGCATTTGCTAGAATAAGCACACCTTTTAATTCAAAGCTAAATTAGCTATACATTAACACACAAATTGGAGGGTTTTTCTGAGGTTGAGTGATATGCCAAAGACTTAACGATTCTAAAAGAGCTCACTAAAAATGCTCTTATGCGATAATGTCATAGAGATCCATTCACATTATCTGCTTTGCCGAATAGGACATTGGAGTAATTTTTTATGTTTGATAGTAGATTTCTGAGAGCGTAATTTCGGTACTTTAGAAGATATTATCATGTGATACTTTCTATGATTGTAATTGATTTAAATAGTAAAATCTATCATGTATATGTCAATGCTTGAAAAAGACAATATAACGAAATAACAATTGATGATTCGGTGATGTTATATCATATAGTAACAACACGTGATAAATACAGGTTTTTTTTAAAAAAATTAAAACTTCACAAAAAAATATTGAATGAAATTGAAATTCTCCTTATATAAAATTTAATATCAAAGTTTGCAAACTCAAACAACTTTACAAAACCAAATTAAAGTTTATAAACTTATATGAGGTGCTCTATAAATTTGAGCTTGCTAACCCAATTACCTTTGTTAATCTTTTATGTTGTGTTTGGTTGAAAGATTTGTAGAGGGATTTGAAAAGGAAAATGAAAAAGGTAGGTGAAATGTGAATAAAATATACATATATTTTACCTAATTTCACACATATTTTTCCTTTCTTTTTCCAAATTCCTTCTAAAATCCCCCAACCAAACACACTATTAGAGTTTTATGTTGAGATGAGTTCGAAGTGTGGGACTTCATCAACTATGAAGTCCTTATATTTCATCCATAGTCAAAAAACAAAAACCAAAAACGATAAAGACCAATTGGCGAATAAAATTACAGGATTCACATGTGTACTTCCATCTCAACAAAAAGAAAGAGAAATTAAAACTTCAAACCAACAATTTAATGTCAGAATTACAGGAAAATTAATTTTACATTATTATTATGATACGTGCACATGGTACATGAAAAGAAATAGATGGGGTTTATTTTGTTTTGCACTCCACTCATCTTGTAATTATTGCTTTTATTGATCCAGAACTATTATATTAACATGTTAAAGTGGTACTCTCCTAGTATTGAATTGTAAAGCAAAACATAGCCCCTTAACAAAATAAAGAAGTTAGAGCATTTTCAATAGTTCGCATAATTGAAAAAAGATAAAAAGTCAAAAAGTCACTATCTTATTTAAGTCACATCATCTTATTTAAGTCATATCACCTCTCTAACACATCACTTCAAACCCAACCCAAACCCAACCCATATTTCATAAAAAGTCAAAAAGTACACTTATTTAGTCTTCCCAAACTAGGCCTAAATAACTAGCTTCAAACCACACCTCCCTTGTGGCAAAATTAGAATGGCAGTTTACTTCTGTTAATATATCTAGAAAATTAATACATAATATATGTAAAAATATATACCATATATACACCATGATATAGGTATAATAACTTCCAATTATTCTCCATCCCCTCGACCCCGTTCTAACCTTTTTACAGGTTGGAAACCACCTGAAACTGGCAGATTTAAGCTCAACACTGATGGTGCCGCGAAAGGGAATCCAGGCCAAGCCGCTGCTGGAGGGTTCCTCATGGCCCAGCTCAAAGTGTCAGATATTGAGCACATTTACAGGAAATTGAATGCTTGTGCGGATCTACTTGCAAATGAAGGAATCAAACTAGAGGAAGGATTTGCATATTTATATATCTACTCCTCATTGTATTGTTAGCAACTATCTGATGACCCTACCTAATTAATGCATTTCCTTATTTACCCCAAAAAAAAAAAAACAACTAAATAACTAGCTATTGTTATATTTTAGCAATGTTGTTTTAATGACGTAAATTACATTTCTTTTATTTTTTTCACAAAATGTCAAATAAAAATATTATATGTGCCTTATCATGAGAGATGTAAAATAAATTTAAAAAAAAAATTGCAAAATTTTAATTATAACTAAATGTATGTCAAAGTTAAAAATACTAAAATATAACACAGGATTTTAGTAAGCATTAGTGAGCTCAAAATTCGGCTTTATTGCTTTTTCCATTTTTGACAGAACAAGCCCTTCAACATATCATTGAACATATCATTGAAAAAACACCTTAAGTTCACCAAAATGTGGTGCGCCCCACCTAACTGTAGTCCCATTGTATCTTAGCTTTCGTTTTGGGATAAATTTTTTTAATTTGATTTTTTGATTATTTTATTTTGACTAAATAAATTGTGCTTGAGATGATAATTGACTTATTTTTATAATTGATTTGATAGTTGTGAGAAAAAAAAATTATTATTATTATTTAGATATAATGTTTTATCTTATTGATTAAAATAGCATGTTTTGTCTTTATTAACTAATTTTGCCCCAACCCACATCCCAAACAAAGCCTAATTATGAGAAGCGTATTGTTTGGGCAATGCTAAATTTTATATAACTGTGGTAAAAAAGCATATACTATTAGCACATAGGGTCTTATGCCTATCTCAAATTTAAATGCAACAGTAATATCATTTTATATAATGTCATTAACAAATAAAAATTCTTAAATAAAAAAGTATTACAATTTTTAGGTAATAATAATAAAAAAAAAAGGATTACAATTGATCTTACTTCTCACTTCCTAACTTTTCTTTCTCATACGATAATTCATTCGTATAATAAAAAAAATAATTTAAAGCTAGAAGTTGATCTAATAATTCCAACAGAAGATCCGATCTCCCTTTTTATTAATTACTTGTCTAAGGTTAAGTTTGGCAACACCAAAATAATCCATCTTTTTATCTTTTTTTCATCATATCATCTTTCTACTTTTTTGCACATCAAAAAGTGCACTTATTTAGATCATCCCAAATAACACCTAAATTTCTTTCTAACCAAATTTATTATTAATTACTTGTCTAAATTTCTTTCCAACCAAATTTAATTTACCAACTTTTCAATGGGTATTCACCTATGCAATCATTCCATGGATTATCACATTCTTGGCTCGAATCACGAAGCGATCTCCAAACCAAACTCCCAACCTTAAACCCGGTCCCAAAAGCAATCATCCACATCCGATCCCCTCTCTTCACCCTCTCTTTAGCTTCAAAATAAGCCAACTCATAAAACACCAAGCTACTCGAAGTGTTCCCGAATCGGTGCAGACTCATCCGAGCTGGCTCAGTCACGTCGTCACTGAGTCGCAAAACTCGCCCCACCTGCTCAATCACGGCCTTCCCACCGGTATGAATACACATGTGGTCGAATGCCGCCGTGAAGTCCGGCACCACAGGCTTAGCTCCGCCGCCCGCCACCGCCGCTGCCACCACAGAGTAAGCATAGTGAACGAGTTGACTCAGCGGCAAAACTCGGGGAGCAAGAATCTTGATGTGTTCACGTAAATTCACACCAGCAACTCTTATCAAATCCTTGGTGAGTGAAACTCCAGTATTACCCTTCTCATCTTCCTCCTGAAACGCTGCCTGGTAAGCGGAGTCATCCGAGCCGTGGTGAGTTCGGACCGAGTCAACTAGTTCCATCTTGGCAACTCGGCGGCGACTCGGGTCGTTGGTGATTAGCGCGGCAGCACAACCCACTCGAAAAATGCAATTCGTTACAAGCATGGATCGATTATCGCCGAAATACCAATTCAAGCTAATGCTCTCGGTGATTACGACAAGGGCATATCGGACTTTTTGGCTGGTACGAAGAATTCGAGCCGCTAAATCGATGGCAAGAACGCCCGAGCTGCAGCCCATTCCGCTCAAGTTGTAAGTTTTTACATCGGGATTCATCTTATAATGATTTAATATCTGTGAGGCTAGAGAAGGGGAGGGAGAGAAGCCTCCGGAGGTAACGATGACGGTGTCGATGAGGTGGGTGGGGATCTGGGTTTTGGAGAGGAGGGAATCAACGGCGGAGAACATGCCTTCCTGGGCTTCTTGGAGGGCGGATTTTAGCGTGGAGACGTTGGTGCCTTGGAACATAAATGGGGGTCCGTAGGTTTGGTCACCCAACCCTGATTTGAGGTAGATGTTGCTCATGAATTCTAGGCTTTGATCGGTGAAGAGTTGGCTAGAGCGGATGAAGTGTTGGGAGAATTCGAAAGTGCATTGGCGGTGGGGAGGGGGTTTGTAGCAGGAGTAGTTGAGGAGGAGGATGGGACGGTGGCGGTGGCGGAAGTGGAGGAGGTAGAGGAGGAGGGAGAGGGAGAGAGGGAGGAGGAGGAGGGTGGTGGTGGAGGAGAGGAGGTGGTGGGTGTAGGATAAGGAGGTGTGGAGGAGGAGGGTGAAGGATAACAGGGCTGAGATGGAGAGTTGGAGGTGTGATGGTGGTTTCATCCTTTTGTGGTGTGTGGGTGTGACTCTTGAGCTTCAACTTGTTTTGGGTTGCCATATGGGAAAGAAAGGGGGTGTGTTTATATAAAGAAACCAGCTTGTCTCCAGTAGGAAGGAGACAATTATTTGACGGTCCATTTCGGCATTTTATTGATCTTACATCACCAATTCAATTTTTTTTTTTTTTTTTTTTATATAAAAATGTTTTATTTTTATTTTTATTATTTTTTTAAAATGTTTTATTTGATATTTTATAATTTCTTAACAAATGAAGTATATGCTCTTACAATTATAGTTAGTATTTATTTTTTAAAAAACCAATTGATTAATATGTGAAAATCATTTTATTGATTTAATTTTTCTCTTTGCAACCAACAGTAATGTAACTAAAAGTATCGATAATATGGAGTTAGACATAATGCTGGCTTCAATGCAAAAAGCTATCCACATATTCTTTTCATAACAATTTTTTTGATAAAAAGATGATTAAATGTTATGTAAATTAAAATCTTAATTAATTTTAATATAATTATGTTACATTAGCAAAACTTATTATATTTTCTCCAAGTATTAGGAAAGATCAACATAATTTACCCTAAATATAACAGGTAATAATTCATTAGTCCATTATTCATGTAGTGTTCTTACTCTACTCACTTCGGCAATTACTCAAAGAAAAGCTGCCTGAAACAGTCAAGAAAAGCAAGGAACTTTGGCTGGTGGTTAGTTAAGGGAATCTTTGATGCCTAGGTTTGACATCGGTGGGCCCATAAAGGACATGGCCCACTACTTATGGCCCAGTCCATGATTCAAATATTAAAACTCAACATTCTTGAAGCCCAATGTTATACCAAGCGCCAATGGCATCTAAAAACTTGACAAGTGGAGAACCAGCCACATCAGCAGATAAAGATTTTGCAGAGTTATTACACCACACATCAGTCATTAATGAGTTTCCCTGCAGCATTTATTACGATAACCTTTCACATCGGAACAAAATAGCTTCACCATGAACAAGGCAAGCTAGAACATAGATTTTCGGCCAACATGACAACTCAGGATGGACAAGGAAATGATGAGCAAAGAATGTAACCAGGTTTCTAAGACATAGAAAAAAAAAAAGTTCTCTATCTCCATTCTCTCTCCCTACTCTCACCTCTCGAACATGCTCGTCGGAGGGTTCGCTGGGGGATTCCCCGTTCCCCGTTGAACTCTTTTACAGGTTTCTCGGTGGGCTCAACAATCGGATAATGGCTTGGGAAGCGTGGACCAACTTGACCCGCTCCATCTGTGGTTAGCAGTATCATCATTGGCGTCGTCTGTGGGAATCCTTTTTGCTCTGTGCGGCAATTGTGCTCATTGTCGCCGAAGACCCATTCCCGATAATCCCTACCTGCCACCCCCAAGGTGGATGGTCATAACTAGATTCATGGCTTCTCAACACAACGTTGCTGACCCCCAAGCCGACCCTCCTAACCCAAACAACCCACCGCAGTATTTCACAGAACTCACCAACAGCATCAACCGCCTAGCCGTGCAAAACCAAGCCCCGATCAATGCTTTGCTTCAAAAAGATCTTCTCATACCTCCTCCACCACCTCAAGATATCCCACCCAACCAAGAACAAGCCTCGAGCCATCCCATTCAACAATCTCACCCATCAAACTTAGAGGGCTTGTGACCCTCTCCTTCAGATATGAACCTGCCACCTCGGGCCCCACATCCACCATTCCAAGCACCTGCCCCCGAGGGAGAGGCTAGTAGTGTCCAGCCTCCGTTGCCTTCTGGTGATGACAACATTTCCCTTTGGGATGCCGAACTACGAGCCATGAAACTCCAACTTCAAGGGGTCATGCAGAACATACAAAATAAACCCTCTACCACAGCCAGCTCACCATTTGTTGCCTCCAATAGGAACAAACCCCTACCTCCTAAATTCAAAATGCCCTCGATCGACTCTTTCCATGGTATAATAGACCCAGTCGACCACTTGGAGACCTACAGGACCCTTATGGTCCTCCATGCATTCCCTGATGAGATCATGTGTCGGGCTTTCCCTGTAACAATTAACGGGTCGGCCCGACTCTGGTTTAGTCAGCTACCGACAGACTCTGTCTCTACTTTTCAGCACCTAAGTGACTCATTTCTCAGCCACTTCATTGGTACCCAGCGCCAGCGGCGTCCGGTAACCCAACTCCTCAACATCCGTCAGACAGAGGGGGAGTCGCTGTGTAGCTTCGTCACTCGCTTCAACACCGAAGCCTTGCAGGTGGTGGAAAACGATGACAAGGTCATTCTCACGACTTTCATGGCTGGTTTATGATCATCCGATTTCCTTTTCTCCCTCTCCAAAAACCCTATAACCTCCATGGGAACCCTCCTCTCCAAAGCTCAAAAATACATGAACGCCGAAGATTTCCTAGCCGCCCGACAAGATTCCACAGCTAAAAACCCGACCCTCAGAGAGAAGAGAAAGGACTTTGAAACCAAAAGCACCCAGTACACACAACAAATACCTCAGAATACTGACCGACCTGCTCGAGCCGACCAGTCGACACTTACCCGACCGCCCGGTCAGTTTGAACGGTACACACCCCTCGATTCTCCCATGGAACAAGTCTTGAACTAGATCCAACGAGATTACCCCTTAAAAGGGCCCCAACCGTCGCGGTCTCCTTCCAACCGGCGAAACCAGTCCAGATACTGCCGTTTCCATCAGGATCACGGTTATAATACCGAGGAGTGTGTTAACCTCAAAGAACAGTTAGTCGGTTCACGGTAGCCCGCCCTCAGCAACGACCAAGGACTGAACCTACCAGAAACAAACCACCGGTGCATCCCTCATCGACAACTCGCACAACCTAACCAAGGCCATGATCGGCCCCCACAACAACCCTGGGCACAAGGCAACCCTGCCCCCCCAGTCAGGGAAATCAGAGTTATTGCCAGCGGGCTTGTATGTGGAGGACCATCCTGTTCGACCCAACGAACAAAACTCAGAAAAATTAGGCAGGGCTCAAATAAAGAAGTCGCAACATTGAACTGCCGTTTCAAACACCCCAAGCAGTGGATGGAGCCCATCACCTTCACGGAGGCTGATTGCACAGGCATCCGTTACCCCCATGACGACCCCCTCGTCATCTTTGTTCTCCAATCCAATTACAAAGTCAGACAGGTGCTTATTGACAACGGTAGCTCCTCGGACATTATTTTCCTAAACGCCTATCGCCAGCTCAAGGTCGGGAAAGAAAGTTTGTCTCTCCTCCAAACCCCACTGGTTGGCTTCACTGGAGTCGGGTGACCTCCATAGGCTCCATCGATTTTCCCATCACCATTGGAGAATACCCACGGCAGACCACTAAGTTGCTCACTTTTCTCGTCGTCGATTGTCCTTCTGTTTATAACATCATCCTCGGCCGCACCGCCCTCAACGCTTTTCAAACTGTCACTTCCACGTACCATCTGACCACGAAATTCCCTACCGACCTCGAAGTCGGCACTGTGAAGGGGGAACAGACTCTGGCCAGAGAATGCTACGTCGTTTCACTCCAAAAAGTCAAGTTGAAGGAGACTATGATCATCGAAGGACTCGACGTTAGAGACGAAGATGAGTTAGTCAAGGGGAAACTAGTGGAAGAACTTGTTGAAGTCCCCATCGACCCTACCAACCCAACAAAAATAGCCAAGATCGGCAGCCAACTATCCCCCCAAGCCAAGGCCAACCTTACAACCCTCCTAACCGAGCACAATAATGTGTTTCCTTGGACCCATTCTGACATGCCGGGCATCGATCCTTCCTTCGTGACTCATCGTCTGAGCATCGAGCCCCATTTTCGACCTTTTCACCAGAAGTAACGCATCTTTCACCCAGAACACAACATTCTTATTGCTTCTGAGGTTGATAAGCACTGGAGGCATAATTTGTCAAGAACGTTGACTACCCCAGGTGGCTATCAAATGTGGTCTTGGTCCCAACCAATAATGGTAAATGGCGACTCTGTGTCGACTACTCCGACCTCAATCGAGCCTGCCCCAAAGACAGTTAACCCCTTCCTTGCATAGATCTGCTTGTTAACGCTACTGCCGGACACCAAATGCTCAGTTTCATGGACGCCTTCTCTGGCTACAATCAAATTCTAATGCACCCGTCTGACTAAGAACATACCTCCTTCATCACTGATCGGGGAACCTACCACTATTGCGTCATGCCATTTGGGTTGAAAAATGTCGGAGCAACTTACCAACGGTTAGTCAATGCCGTTTTTCATCACCAGATAGGTCGGAACATGGAAGTGTATGTTGATGACATGCTAGTCAAGAGAAAACTCTCCTCTAATTATCTGGCAGACCTGCGGGAGACCTTCAATACCTTACGTAAGTATCAAATGAAGCTGAATTCGGAGAAATATGCCTTCGGCATTGGATCTGGGAAATTCTTGGGTTTCATGGTCAGTCAACGGGGTATTGAGGCTTACCCGAGAAGATCAAGGCTTTGATAGAAATGTAGTCACCTAAAATAGTTAAAGAAGTTCAAAGGCTTACTGGCCGTGTCGCCGCCCTCAACCGTTTTATTTCCCGTGCAACAGACAAGTGCCTCCCCTTTTTTAAAGTCCTTCGGCAGGCTTTTGAGTGGACGGCTGAATCCGAGGAGGCCTTCCAACAATTGAAGCAGTGCATGACCAACCCCCGTTACTCTCTCAGGCGCTCACGGGTGAGCTTCTTTTTCTTTACTTAGCCGTATCGAGCACCGCGGCCAGTGCAGCCCTCATCAGGAAGGACAGCTCAGTACAGCGTCCGGTTTATTACATTTGCCTAGTTCTCAGGGGAGCAGAACAGAACTACCCATTGCTGGAAAAAATGGCCTTGGCCTTGGTCATAGCCTCAAGATGACTTCGACCTTACTTCCAAACTCACTCAATAGTGGTCCTCACTGACCAACCCTTGAAGACGATAATGCAACAACCAGAGTTGTCCGGCAGACTTATGCAATGGTCAGTCGAGCTCAGCCAATTTGAAATCTCCTACCGACCTCGAACAGCGATCAAAGGACAGGATGTCGCCGATTTTATCC